AGACTTCCCTAGAAACTCGGATCAGAGCAACTCTTCATGTGTCTCGATATACGGATCCACCAAGGAGGAGTTTTGCAGAACTGTGTAGTGTGCTTTATTAAAATAATTGTCCTGCTTACCAATATAAGTTTTCTTCCCTAGTGTCCCCTTTCCACTTAGTCTCCCCTCGTGTCGCAATTCAGGAACACCAACCGGGTCAAGGTCGGGAATAAAGTCAACACAAAACTCAATGACCTCCTCTATTCCATAGCCCTTGGCGATGCTTCCTTCTGGCCGAGCACGGTTGTGAATATATTTCTTTAGGACTCCCATGAACCTCTCAAAGGGGAACATGTTGTGCAGGAACACAGGACCGAGAATGCTAATCTCCTTGACCAGGTGAACTAGGAGGTGTGTCATGATATTAAAGAAGGAAGGAGGGAACACCAACTCAAAGCTGACAAGACATTGAACCACATCATTCTATAGTTTAGCTAGATCCATTGGATCGATTGCTTTCTGAGAAATTGCATTGAGGAATGCACATAGCTTCACGGTGGCTAGACGTACATTTGGAGGTAGAATTCCTCTTAATGCAACTAGAAGCAATTGTGTCATGAGCACGTGGCAGTCATGGGACTTTAAGTTTAGGAATTTCTTCTCTGGCATATTTATTATACCCTTTATATTCGAGGAGAATCCAGATGGTACCTTGATGCTTGCTAGGCATTCAAACATGCTTTCCTTCTCTTCTTTGCTAAGAGTGTAGCTGGCAGGACTTAAGTAATGGTGTCTATCATCTGTCTTCTCTGGATGTAGGTTGTCTCGTTCTTTCAAACATCGTAGGTCCTGTCGTGCTTCAAGTGTGTCCTTAGGCTTCCCATACACACCCATGAAGCCTAGCAGGTTCACACAAAGATTCTTCATCAGGTGCATTACGTCGATCATGCTACGGACCTCTAGGACTTGCCAATAGGGTAGCTCCCAAAATATGGACTTCTTCTTCCACATGGGTGTGTGACCGTCGGCGTCGTTCGGAATAGGTTCGCTGCCATGTGCCTTTCCAAATACTACTTTCACATCCTTGACCATATTGAGTACATCCTCACTAGTTCGGTTGCCTGGCTTGGACTGGTGGTTTGCCTTACCTTTAAAATGCTTGCCTTTCTTTCTTAGGGGGTGATTCACAGGAAGAAATCGACGATGGCCAAGGTACACGACCTTTCGACATTTTTTCAAGAATATACCTTTAATGTCATCAAATCAGTGCGTGCATGCATTATATCCCTTGTTTGATTGTCCTGAAAGATTACTTAGAGCAGGCCAATCATTGATTGTTACGAACAACAATGCTCGCAGGTCAAAGTGCTCCTGTTTGTGCTCATCCCACACACGTACACCTGGTCTATTCCACAAAAGTAGAAGTTCTTTAACTAGTGGCCTCAGGTACACATCGATATCGTTGCTAGGTTGCCTTGGACCTTGGATGAGCACTGGCATCATAATAAACTTACGCTTCATGCATAACCAGGGAGGTAGGTTGTAGATACATAGAGTAATAGGCCAAGTGCTATGACTACTGCTCTGCTCCCCGAAAGGATTCATACCATCCATACTTAAAGCAAACCTTAAGTTTCTTGCATCATTTGCAAACTCCGGGAATTCTCTATCGATTGCTCTCCACTGGGACCCATCAGCAGGGTGTCTCAACATATTGTCTACCTTACGGTCTTCTTTGTGCCATCGTAATAACTTTGCATGGTCTTTGTTTCTGAACAGACGTTTCAAGCGTGGTATTATAGGAGCATACCACATAATCTTGGCAGTGATTTTCTTCGTGGGACGTTCATCCTCAACATCACCAGGGTCATCTCGCCTGATCTTATACCGCGATGCATGACATATTGGGCATGCATCTAACTTCTCGTACTATTCGCCACGGTAGAGGATGCAGTCATTAGGACATGCATGTATCTTCTGGATTTCTAATCCCAAAGACAGACTACCTGTTTTGCTTCGTACGTAGTGACGGGCAATTCATTATCCTTTGGAAGCATCTTCTTTTGGATTTTCAGTAACTCCCTAAATCTCTTGTCAGATACACCATTCTTTGCCTTCCATTGCAGCAATTCCAGTGTGGTACCCAACTTTTTCTGTCCCGCATCACAAGTTGGGTATAGCAATTTCTTGTGATCCTCTAGCATGTGATCGAACTTGATCTTCTCCTTTTCAATTTCGCATTCTCTTTGTGCGTCACGAATGGCCTGACCAAGATCATCAGTGGGCTCATCTTCTGCCACTACCTCTTCTTTAGCTTCCCCCATTACAGTATCATTGAAGGCACCATATTCAACAATAATGTCATCATCATCCCATTGTTCTTCTTCACCTTCTTCCATTACAACCCCGGTTTCTTCGTGCTTCGTCCAACAAATATAGTTTGGCATGAAACCCGACTTCAACAAGTGTGAATGAAGACTCCTTGAGCTAGCATATTCCTTTAAATTCTTACATATGACAAATGGGCAGCACATGAAACCATCGCATTTGTTTGCCTCGGCCACATGTAAGAAAGAATGCACGCCCTCAATGAACTCTTGGGAGCGGCGATCAGCATTGTACATCCAATGCCGGCTCATATGCATTACATAACATACATACCATATTAAAACCTAGAACATAATTAGTTAATTATACGACATGCACGCCACCACAGAAGGTATTAATTTATGAAAGTCTCGCTACAATGTAGACAATCCCAACTACCACTAAAAAAACTAAAGCTAAAATGCACTTCAGCAACATAAGGATTTCGCGACCAATCCCAACTAAAACAGACAGATCATGCATTTGTTCAACATTTATGGGCTTCTTTCGCAGGATCACTGCCTCATACTCTTCCTCCAAGTACTAGCCTGAACATACAGTGCCATCCCACTGAAATTAAAATAAAAAATTAGAACTTTAATTACAATCATCATGAAAATAAGTATAAATTAACCATAATCATCAAATGCGACAAAATAACTCACATTGCGATCCGGACACTTGTAGAAGATACGGCCCTTGTTGGGACACTCCTTCCTCACCCGATACTCCATCACACTCTTCTCCTCACACTTGCCGCATGCAATGAGAGGAAGGTCCGGCCTCAGACGCTTTGTAACCCGATGAGAGGCCGAGGACCCGGAAGCAGTTGCCATCTACTCTCTATACTCATTTTTAATATAATATAAATTTCTCATTTTATAAACAAATAAAATTAAAAAAACTCTAAAATTCTCTATATCTCTAAAGCATGAAGTGTGCTATGCATGCTAGAAATGAAAGCTCAATACTAGTTTTGAATAACTACTTTAACCTTCCTTCATCCAAATACGCAAACTTTAAAGTGATTTTGAGCTTAAATGGCTTACATAAATAAAAAAAATCTACCATAAAAAACCACATATATCTAGTCCATAAAATGAAATAAGCTACATATGAAACACGAGAGTATAAAGTTGGTAACCTTTAGAACCGATGGAGGAATGGAAGAAATCTTGTGACCGGTGATGAGGAAGAAGAGAGGCCAGCGATAGCAAGAGAACACTGAGCTCGAAGTGGCTCGGGATCGGGGAGGAACAAGGGCTATATAGGAGGGTACCTTTAGTCCCGGTTGGAGACAGAAACCGGGACTAAAGGTCCCTTCCTAGTCCCGGACGGAGCCTCCAGCCGGGAGTAGACTTTTACTCCCTGTTAGAGACACCAACCGGGAGTAAAAGTTAACCTTTAGTCCCGGTAGGTAACTCCAACCGGGACTAAAGGTCCCCTACAGCAAAAGGTATCTCTAGTTCCGGGCGCGAAAAATACTGGGATTAATGCCAAATTTCGAGGTGGGATCAAAGGTCGTTTCTCTACTAGTGTTAGCTAATAAAAATTCTTGGCCAACTGGGTCATGGTCATCTTATTTGCTATGTGCACAATCAGGTTCTTACCCTGGTTTTATGTAGGAGCAATACTGGCCACCTAGTGATTTTGATCACTTATTGTCTGCAAAATTGAAGGATTTAGCTACCAGTGGGAAATTGTTAAAGGTAAATATGATTTTTGTAGCTCTCTACATCATTTTATGCTATGAGAAATAAAGTTAATTCAAAGATGAAACTACTAGGTGATACCACGTGAGTAAATTCAATTAATGTTATCACCAAAAAAAACCTCTTCTTGGGGGAAAGGTCTCCCCCAAGGCACTGCATTAAGGAGAAACCGAATCACAGGGTCAAGAAGGCCATGAAGGCTGACTGCCCAGGATGCAACTGTGTATATCTCTGAAAGCAGTTACACAGTGAGGGAACTTTTGTGAAAACCAGGGTTCAAACCCTTGTCCTATGGCACCACAACTGGGTGGCCACTGGCCAACCACCACACTAGTGCATTCTCATGATATCATCTAACGAAGTAGTCCTAGATAAGTAAAATCTGTGCATAACACCATCAGAAGCCTAGTTTTCATCCAACTGGAACAACTCAAATGCTATATTTGTGAAGACAAGTATATGAAGGTTTATCATGACACATATGTTTGGCCATAAAGCATGTGCTCTGAGAAGGTGCACACACATAGACTTGTTCAGTCATGCACCATACTCTACTATCTGTCTATTACAGTGCCAAACATGTTTATGAGTATTAGCAAGCACTGATTTCTTGTTTAGTGATGCACAATACTCCACTGTTAGTCTATTACATAATGATTTCTTGTTTAATTTCATGTAGAATCCTTGGTAGACTGCAGGTTTCCGGCTGATCTTACTTTAAATGCTATTTTCAGCACTACTCGATTTGTGGGCTTTATGGTGTCCATGAGCCAACGAGCCATCTTTCATTGCTGAATGTTCATATTTTGATCCAATCAGAAGTTGCATGTTCTCAAATTGAAGAACCCTGAGCTTTTCAGCATGACCAGTGGAAGTTTGCAGGTGAATTGAAAGTACAGGATAGCACATAGTTCACCACGCTTAGAGGGCCGAAGCCCCAAGATGATGCTGCTGGAAGACGTGCAAGGAGAACCCTTGAAATTAGGGAGTGATGCTAGTCGAAGCCTCACGAGATCCCAAGTTGATGCTGAATTGGTTCGTATGGCAACTATGACTGCTGAAGCAGCTGCGGCTGCCGCTGCTCATGCAGTTGCAGAGGCAGACGCTATCATGGCAGAAGCTGAAGCAGCTGCTAGGGAAGCAGAGGCTGCAGAAGCAGAGGCCCGAGCTGCACAGGCCTTCGCTGAAGCAGCAGTTTTGACACTGAAGAACAGAAATGCTGCGAAACTGGTATAGCTCTTGTCCATGAATCTTTTAGATATGCCCTCTTGTCCTTTCACATGTAGAATCCAGTTCCGTAGCCCCTTACGCAACTGATTGGTTACCTCTTTTTTTTTTTGTTTTGTTAGCACTTGAGTGCTTGCTTGGTCTTTTTGTGATATAGATATATGTTTTGTTGTCATTATATGAGTCTGTTTGTTATTTATTGTGATTGTTTGTACTATAGAAGATGTTTAGAAACTTTTGTCTAAACAATCTTGTTTGGGCCACAATAATACAGTCAAGTTTGCCATGATACTTGATCATGTATTTTACTCGTCGCATGATGATTTGGGGGAGCACGTGTTAGTAATTTGAATTTTTTTGGCGGAAAAATGCGCTGTAGGGACGGTTGGTACTGTAGCCGCCCCTAGAAATAGGTATTATAGGGGCGAATGGTACTGTAGCCGCCTCTACAAATCAATTTTGTAGAGGCGACTGATAACACCAGCCGCCTGTACAAATCGATTTGTAGGGATAGTCTGGGAACCGCCTCTACAAATGCATGATTTGTAGAGACGGTATGGTAGGGGTGGTTGGCCGAACCACCCCTACAAATACCCATTAGGCGCCCTTGGAAATCATATCTAACATAGTGATGGCAGCATGCATATATATATATATGCGAGTGGGACTCCTTAATTACCAGCTGCATAGTAGCTGTATGTTTATTTATTACTACACTGAAGGTATGTTTGGTTTCTATAGGATCTCCTAAAATTTCTGTCAAATCGAATGTTTGACACGTGCATGGAGTATTAAATATAGATTAATTACGAAATTAATTGCATAATTTGTGACTAATTTACGAGACGAATCTTTTAAGCATAATTAGTCCATAATTTGACAACGTGGTGCTACAGTAAATATATGCTAATAATGGATTAATTAGGCTTTAAAAATTCGTCTCGTAAATTAACCTCCATCTATGTAATTGGTTTTGTAATTAATCTATATTTAATGCTTCTTATTAGTATCTAAATATTTGATGTGACATAAATTTTAGGAGCGACCAGATAACCAAACAATCCGTAAATATGTCGATATCGAGCATAGTTGTTTGAATATCATATTTTAGTACTAAAATATCAAATTTTGTTTCAGCGACAGTATATGGAAGTTTGGCACGCATCCACCTCCAAGTGAAGAGAGTTAGATAACTGCTCATAATACAGTCATACTGGGCTACTGGCACATGCTTCACGCACGTACGACACATGTGCTGCACGTCATGGATTCGTCGTCATTCGTCAAAAAACGACAGGGACCTGTGTGTCCGGTGGTCTTCCCGCGACAACAATGTTTCTACCATGGTGCCTATGGGAACTCATTATTTTGTTTCAGTCCCCAACTCACCGGACGACGGACTCCACGTTGTTGCTGGTGCAGGACCTACCACAACTCACGCCACCATGAGTCGGACAACTCGGTGTCGAGATTACGGTGGGCTCGCCCACCCCTAGCGACGTGATGCCCACACCACATGAGGCTACTTGGCATCTCGCACAGTTCACCGAGGAGACGCAGCACAAGCGAAAGTCGCTATTAATCGCCAGTCCACCAACGCAGAAGGCGGCAACCACAAATCACGCCCTGCCAACCAGGAGCAGACGGATTGCCGCTGACGAACAAACCAACCTCTAAGCGGGGGAGGTACTACTCATGAAGATGGGCTTCACGCCGCCGCCGGCACTAGTTTCATACGTGTCCAAGGGAGCATACGACGGCCCCGTTCGGCTGGCAGAATTTTGGCTGAAACTGGCTGGAAACACTATTCTGGCTGAATTGTTGTGAGAGAAAAACACTGTTTCGGCTGAAAAAGGAAGCTGAACAAATCGAATATGGGGTAAGCCGAACGGGGCCGACACCATATTCACAGGGAACTTGACGTCGAGCCAAGTTGCAGGTCTGGGACGAGCTGTTCCCAACGACCGACAACAGGTGGTAGAAAAACCAATTTGCTCTTCTCAGATGCCGGAGTAGGATCGCACAACCAGCAGCGGAGGCGCCCAGCTTCGTAGGTTGCAGTATTGCTCTTAGCTCGGTTGTAGACCTTTTGTGTAATATCGAAGCGAAATTATTTCCTAGGACGGTCCAGTCTATAGCTGTAAGACCTCCAAGGGCGCTCGTCAGAAGCGTGTCGTTTGTATGGTTAAACTCGTCTTCTTAATTACAATGATGCGCAAATCTTTTGCATATTCGAGAAAAAAAACTTCATTGCGTTAGCTTCGACTATAACGTTTGAGAGCCTGATAATGCTTCAAACCAAATCAGAGCTAGAAAGGGACACAATAATCTTCAAAACACTTCAAACCAAAGCAGAAACATGCATGCAAAGTTTACGGATTGTTATTATACTTCCATTTACAGGTAGGTGAAATCCAAATTCCTCCTTACAAAAGCTATAGACTAATTTTTCAGCTAGATGGAAGGGTAAGTGGGAGGTTGAGGGAGACCTAGTAATTCCACATCAAGTTTTGGAGTGGGTGCCCACCAACACATGACTAGATGAGTGTGTTTAGTTTGAATAATGGAATGGTCCATCGTATTCATTCTCACCCTATAACTTTTTTTTTGTTTTCTGGAATAAAATTGGTTGATTCTTCACCACCAGATCCCTCGTAAGCTATCAACCTCCGAGGTTCCTTGAGGGCCAACAACCTCTGAGGAAATATTCCTAACCATCGAGGAAATTAGGTTCCTTGAGGGCCAGCAACCACCAAGGAAATATACAGGAAGAGAAAAAAAATCAATGAAAGCCATTTTTCATGCCCTCCTGAGAATCAAACTTGGGACTTGAGGCTCCATTTTAAGCACACTTACTACTAGACCTACAAGCAACTTGTGACTAAGTGAAATATTCTTTTCTTTTGTATTCACTTTTATTGAATCTTGTAATGAATATTTGAGATCCTAAACGATTTTAAATGTAAAATGTTTGAACTAAAAATTTTTAGATCTCGTTGAATACTGTAACTTTGGTTTAGCTTGTAGTTTTCATGTTATATTCATGACCTATGATCTAGTATATAGTTTCTATGCTTTGAGTTTAACATGTAGAACTTTATGATTAATTATTCATATAACATATATGAATAGAATTAGAGCTAAGTTGAGGTGACAGTTCATCGTGCTTTCGGGTGTGCCCATGTCCTATGCTTGTCGATCCGTAGGGTCTTGTCCTGGGGAGATGTGGGTAGTTTCTATGTAATCGGGCATGGTGCCCGGGTGCATGGGAGCTAATGAATACATTTCCTACTGTCCGATTGAGGGGTAGGCGGCAGGTGGTGATTGCCCTATCCGTCCCTTGTAATCTTCCACAATCAGGTAGGGTGTAGGAGTCTAAATCGTCACATGAGGTTGCTGGCAGACCAGTACTCAGTGGCCTCATGACCTATCTTACACTTAGTTCTAGTTGTAATCATGTATCTTGTATGATCATTAACTATTCTTTGCACGGCTATTTTAGAACATGCCTGCTCCACTTTGGAAGATTCTTTTATTCTTTGTTTTCTCATTTATCCTTGAGGTTGGCCCAAGTGTGTGTCCACTATCCTGAATATACCATTATTACCCCTATCTTCAATTATTGGTTCACTATGCAAGTATGTAATCTTGTTCATATACAAGCTAGACTCTTATACCTTGCCCTCCTTTGGGAAAATATAAATATGATACCCTGAATACTTTTGGGTGAAATGCTACAACGATAGATCCATGTGTTTGTGGATATTAATTCTATAATCGTTAAGAACTATCGTCAATGGTATTTCTTGGCGCAGTCGCTAGGAAACTCAAATCTTAGTGATTGCGTTAAGAAATGCCAAGAGGGGTCTCCTTTTGAGTGTGTTCCATCACAAAAGAACATCAAGGTGTACAACTGATGTTGCTCCCATGTTCTCAAGCATTGTATGTCCCCTGTTCTTCTTGATCTTTTACCTGAAAGGGTTAACAACCAAGAATACCTGAAGGTGCATCTAACTTGACAACATGTTCTTGCTTTTATTAACACGAAAAATTGTTTTTTTTATTTTTTCATGATAATATGGGTTATCTCCCGGCAGTGCTTAATTTATGGTGTTAAGCTTGACCGTGGGAACTTGATCTTGCAACTATCAATGGCGGTATAGTTCGCAACTTTTCCACCAAGCATAAGATGTTATTGCTCAAGCTGCAAGGTTAGCGCAATAGTGCAACAACGAGATTTGCAGTATTTGTGGTAAACAAAGGCATCGACAACCATCCTCTTAAAAAGTTTGGAGATGAGAGGATCAAGAGATGGTTGCCATCCTCGTAGAAGCACTTGGCACTAAGCGAAACGAACTCTAGAGACTTCGACAGCGAGCATGAAACGCGAAGGGTCTCAAAAGTGAAACTTTCATGCTCATTTATGGAGTCCCTCCTTTTGGACTCCAGAGTCAGTGTTTCAATACTATCCATGGCACATGAGTTTTCATTGTGTAAGATCACGGCTAACTCTCGACCACTATCGAGAACAGCGTTTTGATGGCCAGAGGGATAGGCTTTAGGTCCGAGTGAGGGTGATGGTGGATGTTCCATTTCACAAGAAAGCTTATGTGAAACAAATGGAGATACGAAATTCACCACCTTGAATAGGTCATGGTTGGGACATTGCTTTGCCATTGGATTTTCTGGGTGAGGGATAGGAGTGGCGGAAGCAGTTGTTCCCAACTTTTCATCAAGGCTCCCATGGGAAGGTTTTTCTTGAAAAAGTTTGTCCAATAGGTAGCTTATGAGAAGATCGAACTCAAGGATGGCAAAGATCTATGAACACCTCGATTTCATCTATTATGATTGGCACGGCCCTGGCAATCCCACAACACTCGAAAATGGGTCCTTAGGGACTTTCGAAGAGTCTATTGGTTAGGACTACCGGCATGTTACCCAAAAGGGTTTCCAAAAGATATTCTAACATGATACTAGTCCCGACTATGGGGTTTTGTAGGTCTTCAATA